TCCCCATCATCGCAAACACATTTAGCTCCAGCACTGGTTCCATGGCTTGCATTGTCCACTGTGCTAACTTCTAGCACGCATAGATCTGCATGCTAGCTGCAACTCTCTCTTCAGCTTGTCAGGCTGCAGAAAGTCAAATGTAATGTTTCCAAACAAGAATACATTTGCCATTTTAACGTTGCATTTTTTTAAATTTTGATTTTATTGCAAATGTAATTTCCAAGCCCTGGGGAAAAGGAAAAAAAAATCATACTTTTCTTGTCATATTCTAGTTTTAAAGTTAAGCATGGCTTATCTTAAAGTGACAAGCCTGTTAAATCAACTATTGAACAAAATTCTCCTGAGGAAACTTTATCAAATAATGGAAATGATAAACCACAAGATATACACAACCTCTCACACTTTAATGCTACATGCTAACAAAACCTAAACACATCCATATAAAAATATAGAAGCCAAAACAAGAACAGACATTAAGTGTTTAATGAGTCAAATAGGCTTCAGTTTATTAGTACAAATATGCAGCTTTATGTTTAATTTCATTTTGTCAGGACTGAAGAACGTTTTTCATGAATGTCCAATAATAAAAGACAAAGATTACAGGAAGGAGAAAGGGTCCAATGTAATCTTCTGGGTGTCCCAGATTGGCAGTGTACTCAGGGGAAAGACATCTTTAAAGAAAAATTAAACCATGTAGGTCAGGCAGAGTGGAATATTAATCAACCGAGAGACAGACCACTGCCATTCAAGAGCAAAGAGGATGCTAAACGTCCAGCAGAAGAAGATTTGCTTTTTATCCCCAAGTGAGGTTTTAAAAGAAGAAAATCTGACACTGCAGTCATTAAAATATGCAAAACAAAACAATGAAAGATTGAATTCATTTTAGAGCTAAATTTAAATAGAACTTTGACCATGGAGGAATCATTTCTAAAACATTAAAACAGCAAAATTATTGGTCTTCAGTCGGGTTGACGGTCCATTATAAACTTCTCAGACACAAACTTATCTTTTCAAAATAAAAACAGTTCATAGCTTATTATTAATTTAATTTCATTATATCCACTTTTGTATAATTTAAATAAACATTTCCATTTATCAAAGCTGTTCTATTTGTTTGTGGACGTTCTCCCACTATAGGGTATTTTTGCACATTGTTGTTGCAGCTGGGACCAAAGAGTATAAAAAAAGATGACACATTTACCGTCAATAATCTGAATACTAATTTATTTTATCACTTCTCGTAACACTAGTCGATGCAAGGATCCAAATAGGGAGACTATAAACATTGAGTTTATAGCAGGTGTGTGATCTTAACATTGGACTGTTGATCACAGCGATAGATATTACTGGAAGGAATTGAGGGCCCCAAGATTATATGTTGCTCAGGGCCCCATGGAAGCTTGTGTTCAATGAATACATTTTTAAACTTTAATAAACCAAGCTTATAAATGAAATCAAAGAGTCAAAAGCTATCTAAAAAGTTTAGTATTGTCAGGAAGGATTCCGGCCCACAGCTTAACCCACAAATGCACAAATTATTACAAATACAGCAAACCTTAGAGGGAATAAAAGAAGCTTAACCAAAAATAGGTTTATTACCAAGATGCATTTTCTACATGAAGTATAGATAAGCAGACAGAGCGTATGCAAATCAGGAGTGCTTTAGAACGGCTCCTTTTGCTCCATAACATCCCTTCATATGATTCAGACACACTGGTGGATGTGCATGCTGATCAGGTGCAGCGCTATTTGAGGGGGACTCGGCTCACAGATGTCAAGGACACCTCGCAGCGTTCAATCCAGTGATAAAGGAAGGAACGGCTGTCCTTCAGATCTGAAACAACTGTGGGCTGATAACACGCCGTCCGTGCCTCAGAGAAACAGGGACATCACAGAGCAATCAAGGCGACGGCTTCAACCACAGCACTGCGAAATGAAAATGTGGATGACGCATGCAGCTTCGGTGTGTTTGTGTTTAGATACCGACAGCAAAACAAAATATGAGGGGAAAAAATAGCAGCACCTTGAGAACAACCGTCAGTATTAAGAAAACCTTTGATTGATTTGAGGATGTCATGGTAAGTTAAGAGGATACAAAGGTCTCCGATGATATTTCTGTAACCTGAGGATGACCTTTAAGGAGAGCTCTATGATGGCCCCTCTGACATCTCCACACAAACAACTAGATAAACACAATTCGTATTTCATCTCAGAATAGCAGCAGAAACATAATAAAGCATCTATCCCACATCAGGACATGTCGGCACACTGTGGAGGTCTGAGACTTCCCCTCTTATCTTATAAGAGCACGACAGACACATTGTGATATCACCTACCTAAGAGCCAATGCCAGTGAGACGCAGGAAATTAGAATTTAAAACCAGAGCACATAAAAACAGAGCCGGTTCAGCGCAGCTGGCACGTGTGTCAGAGAACAGCAGCGGAGGGGACGGGAGACCTACCTTATTTAGCTCTGACCGCAGAAAACACCATCATGTCCCACAGTCGAAAAGAACAAGGATAGACCGACGGAGAGAGAGAGAACCTCGAGATGACATCACCATATTTCACCCTCCTCTGTTGATATGTAGGCTATCGCTGCAAAGCTGCCGATGTCAGCGGAGGAGCAGTGATATCCAGTGCTCAATCTGTCCCATTGTAAACTGCTCAGAGCTGCTCAGCACCGAGGAGTCAGATGCATGTATTAGAGCAACAAGCATCAGTTTAAGTTCTAATGCATCATGGTGATGCATAAGAAGACAGTGTGGCATTACTCAACTACAAAGGTTGTAGTACTTTACAGCCCAGGACTAATTTGCCTTATTTGCCGATTGTAAATATAAGCAAAAATTGAACACGGAGCTCCACAAGGCTCTTTTCTCGAGCCACATTTTTCACTACCTACAGCATATGATGTCCCTAGGTTAGATTATGGAATGCTGCACAATTTCACCACTTGTATGCCGATGACACACTACTATATATTGGGCATGTCATGATCTGATAATATCGGTCCGATATTAGCCAAAAAATTAATACCGAATTTTATCGGCCGGCATCAAAAATATCCGATATTTTCATGTCAATAGAAACTCTCTGCATCTGTTAAAAGCTTCTGTAACCCACTGGTTAATTTTGCATGGGCCAGTGGTTTTCATACATTTTGTTGTTGAATTTTTGTTCCTTGTTTTAGTGATATTACTTGATAAAGCTTTTTCTAATTTTCTACAGTATAGAATAAGTAATAGCTGGTATGATTCCTGTTAATATTATATCCGGTCAATATCAGTATTGGCCAATTCTCAAAGCTGCTTCTGTATGGAATCGGAAATGAAAAAGCTGCTTTATGACACCCCTACTATATATTTATGTGTTACAACTCATGTTCCAAAATAATCACTGTTAGAGGCTAAATTACATCCATCCATCCATTTTCTGACACGCCTTATCCCAAGTGGGGTCACGAGGGGTGCTGGTGCCTATCTCCAGCTGTCTACGGGCGAGAGGCGGGGTACACTCTGGACAGGTCGCCAGGTGCCACTGAGCAGCTGCCAAATTACAATTTCATCCAATTTATTAAAGAGAAATTCAATTGTGTTCATTCGACTAATTTAGTAATCGATTGTTAACTTGAGTAAAGAGACTAAAACATTCCTTACCTGAAAGAGAGACCCACTTAAAGGAATTTTGTAAAACATATTAGCATTTTGCATTCAAGATGAAAAGCATTTTTTTCCATTGATGTACTGTATGCGGAAACATCCAGAAGGGCGCAGTTTCAGTTTCACTTGGTTAAATTCCGTATCAAATCTTTTTTGAGGATTATTTAATTTAATGAATTAATTAATTGAAGAAAAACAAAAAAAGAATTGAGCGATTCATCGCTTAGCCAAGTAGTTGTTAGTGGCAGGGCTGATTTTAAAATCAATCTGAGTTTAGAGAGATTGATCTAAATTTATTAGTAATCGACAAGAATCTAAGGCCGTTTCTCAATTCACAAGAACGCGAGTACGGACTCGTGTTCTCACGAGTACGGACTTGACAACAACACAGGAAAGTATGGACTTGGGGAGAACGGGAGCACTCAGCATAAATATGGGTCAAGTGGAACAGAAGCGTACTCGTGACGTCACCACACGCTTGGCTCGTCTGGAGCTGAATTTCACCTCCTGTTATTAAAAGTCTCTAGATAATAACACAATTTTAATCTTACTTTTTTCATTTAGTGTGGGAATAATAATTAACACAGTCAGAAAACACAAATCAAATGGATCATTTTGCCAAATTAAAACGAACAAACCTCCATCAGAGCCAGTGGTATTTCCCCACACGGCTATGCTGAGAGAGGACTGCTTTAACGGCCTTGAAGATCCGCTGGTTTTCACGGTCCTTTCATCTAAACTTTTCTTTAATTACGCACAAACTCAGTAAATGGGTCATAAAGTGACACTTAAAAGTATAATTTTCTCTCCTGAAATAGTCTTAAAACTTACTTTTATAGAGCAACAGCAACAGAAAATAAAACTTTTAACTCAGTGACTCAGTAACTTGAGTCAATCTCAAGAACGGACAAGTCTGCTCTGATGCAATATCTGGGGACTTTGTCCATTCTCGGTCTTGTGTTCTTGTGTATTGGAACAGTACTAGGACTGAGGCTGGTGACGTTTCACAAGCACACGAGTAGGGATGGGGATCGTTAATATTTATTGATATCGATACCTTTATCGATACTCCTTATCGATCCGAGTCTTTATCGATACCACTATCGATACTTTTCTGTTATTTGGTGGAAAGACGATGCGACAATATGTTTTTAACAGAACTGGTATTGCTTTTATTGTTTGACAAGTGAGCATAAAAAAAAACATTTCTAGCCTTCATAAACATGGCTAACTAAGTAGAATATATCAGCAGCACCAAATGAAAAAAAATGTCATAATGTATGTAAATTAAATAATATGCTGCGTCACACAAAAGGAAATAAAATATCAGCTCATAAATTAACAGGTATTTTTTTGCAGAAAAATTAACATGTCTGCCTTGTCAGGCATGATCCTCGAACGCTCCTGGCTGATGGTGTCCCCAGCAGTGGAAAACACCCTCTCTGAAGGGCTCGAAGACGCTTGGACAGTAAGGTAGCCGTGAGAGAGATCCGCTAGCAGGGGCAGGGTGTCTCTCTTTGTCCACCACCAGAGAACTGGGTCCTCTGCTATAGAAATCATAGGCAGGCTTCTGTAGAGCTGGATTTCCTCACATACTCTCTGCTGAATGCTGATGTTGGAGTTGTTCATATGGATGGTCCGTCGCTCTTGTTCCTCCTCGGCAAATAGCTCCTCCAAGGCACTCTTCTTAGGTTGTGGTGGTGGACTGACTTCAACCCGAGGATTCTCATACATAGCCTCCTCGGTTGTGTCGCTGTCCTCATGGGACTCAGGGATTGGGACATCAGCTTCTGTAGCATTTGTTGCTACAGCTGCCTCCTGCAAACGTTCCCAGGTGGTGTGCCTGACACTTTTGGCTTTAAACCTTGGGTCCATCGCTGTCGCCTCTTCGAGGAACTGTTGGATTTTTTCCTCCTGGTAACGTCCGGATAGGTCAGTTAAAACCTTCCGTTTAATGTCGGATACAAATGAAGAGTCTCCTTCCTGAACTGTGAAGTGGGTCTTCAGTTTCATGAGAATCGGAAGGATCTGTCCACAGGTGGGGGTTTTCTCACTAGATACACACAGTGTAGAAGTGTACAGGACCTTCATGACCTTTATGAACTCCTCTGCTTTGGTAAAGTCCTCATCTGTGATCCTATCCAGTCGGTCCCTCTCCATGGGCTTTCTTATACGTGGATCCAACACTGCAGCTTGGAGAGCCGGATACTGCTCAAGGAACCTCTCAACCATCAGAAACAGGGAGTTCCACCTGGTTTTCACATCCAGTATCATGGTGTGCTGAGGAAGTTTGAGAAGGAGCTGCTTTTCTTTTAGCACTACCTTCGCCATTGAAGATCGTTTCATCCACACGATGACTGCTCTTAGTTTTGCTGCCCACCGGGTCATCGCAGCAATGCTGTAAACTTTTTGCGCAGCCAAGTTAAGGGTGTGGGCAAAGCAACCCAGTTTGAGGATGTCCAGCTTCTTTGCAGCAACATCCATGTTGGACGCGTTGTCTACAGTCATGACAACCACCTTTTGAGTAATGCCAAACTCTTCCAACACCTCCCCAATCTCCACTGCCACTGTTTCCCCGGTCTGCGCTCTGTAGACAGCTTTGGTCCGGAGGACTTTTTGCTGAAGCTTGCCTTGGCTGCTGTAATGGGCGGTCACAGTAATGTAGTGGTCTTGCGCTAAGCTAGTCCACCCATCACTTGTAATGGCTACCTTACTAACATTTGCCAGCTCTGTAATGACATTCTGCTTTTCCACTTCATACCATGCAGGGATGAGGGTGTTTGATAGAACAGTCCTGCTTGGAGGGGTGTAACGTGGATTGAGGGCATTTGTCATTTCCCTAAACCACGGTGATTCAACTGTTGCAAAAGGGTGCAAGCCTTTCACCACAAATTTTGTGACAGCCCTGTGACACTGCTCCACTTGATTAGAAGGCATCTTCCTGGCAGCCAAGGTGAAGGGAGTTTGGAGTAGGCCAATGGGGGCGGGAGTTGAGGTGAGCTTGAGCTGAACACCATCTAAATTAATGGGAAAAGGAAATGGTAGATATATTTTCACTTATAATTAAAAACAAATCATTACAAGGTCCTCCAAATGTTTTTCTCAGACAGAAAGGAAGTGGGGGGAAAAATTATTTGAAGAAATGTCCTATATTTTGAAGAAATCTCTTCTTTTGGTTTAAAAAAATATATAAATTTTCACAATTGTTGGTTAATGTATTGTCTACTGTCACTTTTCATCATGTTTTTAGTGATTAGGAAAATATTTAGCAAATAAACAATTGTATTTTAAATTAAATGTAATTTTTAATAAATGTTGGCATCAGTAGTTTAATTATATATTCTAAAATAATTAGAGCAATATACAACTGTATTACTCACGTTTCTCGCCAAAAACTCAATTTCCCTTTTCTTTACGTTACACTTGAACGCATCATGATAACCTAATTGCCATTTTACTGAGCCAATCTGAACACATCATCACGCAGCACGTCTGAAACTTTATTTACTTTTCAAGCTAACTAGCTTGTATGCTGCCGATTACAACACGGATTTCACAATTACTATTTTTAACTGACCGGACAAGCTACAAAGTCTGTGTGCGCGCTTACCAGTGGATGATGAAGACTGTGGTGCGGCGGCAGCAGGAGGAGGAGGAGGAGGAGGAGGAGGAGGAGTCTTTTCAGCTCGGAGACAGTCAAAGGTACTGCATTTGGCCTTTATTTGATGCACAATATTAATGTGCTTGGCCATTGAGGTTGTGTTCCCCCCTTTGCAAGATATGATTTTGCAACATAAGTTGCATTTCGCTTCGTCTTTGTCTTTGAGCTTGGTAAAATGAAGCCAAACTTTAGACCTTTTTGTCCGCTCAGCCATCCTCGAGTCGCGAGTGGGTTAACTGCCAGACTTCACTAGTTTTACTTTTAATATCTTTTTGTTTACAAACATTGGTGGACATGCTGCAGTGATTGGATTGATTAGATTTAAATGCTGTGACGCGACTCGAGGGACACACAATTATGTTACAGGACCTCCGGGAGAGAGAAAAAAAAAAAAAACACGACCAGACTCGATAGCGGTATCGATAAGCCCAAACGTTATTGATTTTCGGGTTTTGAAAAAAGTGGAACCGGGTCCTTGATAGAACCGGGTTTCGATCCCCATCCCTACACACGAGCAAATGAGAACACACAAATAAACATATTGAGAAATGGCCTTATTGCAACAGAACATGCTCACACCAAATTTCAACATCAGAATTAAGTTATTTGCAATGTGTGTCTACTAAATCCACAATTAGCAAAGTTTTGCATCTTTAGCTTTGTTTAAATGAAGTTGATGCAAACTTTGATTTAGTTCTCTGTTTTTAGCATAAACCAACATTCAGAGCTGGGGGAGAGTGTGCCGTTAGCAGTGCCTTTAAACTGGTGGTGATTTTGTTACTCACAGAACTTTACAGTTTGGCTCAGTGAAGTACATTAACACATAAGAGCTTTCAGGACTACCCTGCTAGCTTATTGTTAGCATGTTATTTCTTTCTTGTGAAATATTGTACGTACTGCCATCCACTTTTCTATCATCACACTACTACACATGCTCCTTCTCCATACATGAGTTTAAAAAATAACTTCTGAGATACTTTGACATTTAATTTCCCTTTGGGATTATCAACAATTGTTGAATTCGAATTGAATTTGAATTCATCACACCTAATAGGCTCAATTTAAGCGCTAACTGAAGGATTTTTTTCGACTGTTTATGTTTAGAAACTGAATCACATAAGTTCATTCTGCATGTCCGTCGCAATTAAACAGAGCAAATAATCTGGATTATTTCTCTGCTCAATACCTCTTCTGAAAATTCCAGTGAAACTCTAATTAAAACAATGAACATTCTCCAGTGGATGGCGGCAACAATACAGCACTGAAAATAGCTATCAGTGGAACACATTTTGACCTAAAAAAAAGTCAATATTTAACAATTAATCGTAAGTTGATTATTTGTTTACACCCTAACAGGTGTGCTTATTGAAATGGTGTCTTGGTTTTACTTTTAGCTTTAAGAATAAACTTTTTAAAATCTAAAGTATATTGTTGGTGCAACCTCTAAAAACATTTTTGTTTTCATTTTTATATCAAATACTCTAAAGAATGAATCCGGTGCTGTTTAAACCTTGGCATCAAAAACTAGTAGAATACTAGGAAAAAAAATTGGTTGAAATTTTTCGAAAGGCTAGCTTTGATATTCTTATCAATGGTATATATGGTTCTAATGAATTTTGAGGTTGCATGTCAGGTGTTAAACATGTAGATCCTTCAGATAATCAGTGCTCAACTACTCATAACTAAAGGGGAGGAAACATTTAGGCCACCTCTAGAGAGCTGAAGACGGTATACTCTGGAAGCAACAACCTGAAAGACTGAGATTCACAAAAAACGATTTTTCCTTTAAAGATTACTGCTCACGTCAGGGTTCCAATCAAGACCTTCCATTAATCTAATTTATTTTCATACTTTAAATGTATTTTCTTTTACTTCCTTTTTATGTGTGTTTGTTATAGCAAGATCATGCCATTTGTTACGAGTTTGCGTTTTAATTGTATAATTTTTATTTACTTATATTCTAGAATTTTAACACTTTATCTAGCTCAGTCTTTTTTCAAATGAAGGTTTTTTTAATACCAGAATAAACAAACAATTCCACACAGAGCAATTAACTGTCCTATAAAGCGAGAGACACTTTTTATTCAGCTCTGCTCAACAGTCATAATGAACGGTATTGGGTATTATTAAATGACTTAAATCAGTTAGCCAGCACTGGCAGTCAGATAGTATTTAAATCGTAATTTATCTCTGAATGATTCAGACTTTTAACAGCAAAAGAACAAGAGATGATCTGGGTTTTTAATTTCCTCTAGAGTATAAACCACAGTTAAAAATAGAAGCCATGGGCCGAGCAATAAGATCAGCGATTGTGGTAAACAGTAAATGGCTTCATCTCATCATGGCCAGTATATTTCCTGCTATCCGTTTTCAGTAGAGCTTGGTGAACAGGAAATACCGAGATGAGTAAATCATTAAATAACTGAGCAGGGTGATTGTTAAGAGATATTTTTAACTTCTGTTAAATTATCCAGGTCAATAAATGTTGATCCAGTGGAAATTAAAGGACTTAAAAACACCATAAATGTGAATAAGCATTAAAAAGATTACTAAAACTGAGAAGTCAGATGGAAAATTTATGCAAGGCAAAAAAAAATCCAGAACATGTTTTGGCAAAATAATAATATTCAACTCCACAGCATAAAAACTCCTCCAAAGAAGCACACTGTGCAATCCTCAAAGAGCTGCTGCTGTGCACAAGGCTCTGGTGTTTGAATGAGAGCACTGGAAAACTACACAGTAGCACATGAACAGAGCTTGTAGCTCCTGTGGGTAAAAAAAAACAAAAAAAAAACAATGAATAAACAGAGAACTTAAACTGCATCAGAACCCATGTGATGCAAAACCAACAAGAAAAAAGACATAAAGTTGTTTTTATTTTATACTTTGTGTGAGGGATGCAGAAATCAGGGAAAACGGGTCTCTGGTTTACTAATCCTCAAATAGCAAAATGCTCTTTTTGCTCAACATAAAATCTAATATTCCACAGGAAGCCTTCTCTTATCAACTAGCTTAAACACGACCTGTTAAACAGGTTAGGATAGATCTGTGAGCTATAGAAAACGTCCGTGACATTTTTGTTCGTGAAATCTTTCTTAGATGATGAGATTTCGGCTTCGACTTAATTTAACCTATTTGGGTTTCTTTCAGCTTTGGGTCTCTATCGCTTTTATAAAGATAAGCTGAAGCCGTTCAATAATCCGAATAGGCATTTTGGTTGATATAGTTTGGAAGAATCTGAGAAAAAACATAAGATGCTAACAGCGCTAACATAAAGATAGGGTTTTATAAACAAATTTAGGTTTTAAAGGGCCTTTTTCTTCTCATACACGCTGTAGACACTTGTTCCCTTATGATCCTTGGCCATTTTCAAAGAACGGCGGTGAGAAAGGTGAGCTTTAATGACTGTCTGCAGGCCTTACATAAACATTTCACCAGAATGATTAGGAGGACCACTTATTTAGATGATCCACCCGGAAAAAAGATAGTCCTCTATAGGGATGGGAATGAAAAACTGGTTCCTATTCAGAACCAGTTCCGTGTTTTCCAATTCCATGGCACCGTTTGGCAGCTTGCTTAACAGTTCTCTTAATGATTCCAGGCAGCACCAGAGCCTAGTGCTGGGCAGCACGACTTACGTCATGTTTTTTACGCAAGTTACACACACGGCATTCAGTAAGCAAGTACGACGTAACCAGGAGTAAGTCTAGAAGAGCAAAACAAAAGGGTTCGATCATTTTAAGGAAGAGAAAAATGGCAACAAGGGCGCTTTGCAATCATTGCAAAGTGGCAATTACATCCGTGGGAGGAAATACATCCAACACGCAGAAACACCTGCGCACACAACATGGCATACATTTTAACAAATGCAGTGTTTTTGATGCTTCTGGACAGAAGCTAAAGTTACGACCAGCATGGAAGGCAGCTCTGGTGGTAAGTAGCTAGTTTTATATCACTGACTGTGCTTAATGTGGTTCCTAGTAAATCATATGCCATTTCTGGAAATAAACCCAATTTCCGACCTCTCTTTGGGGTTATTAAACATGCTACGAAGTTGATCCGCAGTTCAGGGAGCGAGAGAAAAGTGAAGCTCGTTTATTTAAATCAGGGGGAGATGAGTTTATTTCCCGAAATTGTACAGTAATGCTTTTTCATTAAACGGATGCCTTCTCCG